TTGATTGATAGGTAGGTAGGTAGCTTGATTGATAGGCATGTAGCCTGATTGATAGGTGGGTAGCTTGATTGATAGGTAGCTTGATAGATTAGTAAGTAGGTAGCTTAATATATTGATACATAGGTAACGTGATAGATTGATAGAGGGATGATAAATAGATGGATGTGTGTGTGTGTGTGCAAGAGAGAGAGAGGATAGATGATGTATGTTATGTATGTATGTGTGTTTGTGTGTGTGTGTGTGTGTGTGTGTGTGGATGGATGGAGAGATAGATAGATAGATAGACAGACAGACAGACAGACAGACAGACAGACAGACAGACAAGACAGACAGACAGACAAATGGTGTGTGTGTGTGTGTGTGTGTGTGTGTGTGTGTGTGTGTATGGATGGATGGACGGACGGACGGATCTATTGAGACCTCAGCTACTTCACCATGAGGTACAACATATTTGATCCATTCACCATGCTCTTCTACATTCACATTCACTTTTAGCTTGGGATGGTTGCAATTGCATTGCATTGTTATCCACCATCGGCCTTGTAAGGTTGTAGGCTTGCTTGTGTTCCTTTGAGATAAGACAACAATGCCTTCCGTCACGGTCTCCTTCAGCCTTCAGTTCAGATGGCAGGTCAGAAGATTAAGGTCATTCCTCCCCTCACCTGGAGCAGGAAACATTGCCACGGCCTTCTAGAACAATCACGGCTATCTTTTGCTTGTTGCGAGTTAAATGTTAAGGGAGGGAGACAAGATTGTGCTCAGATTCTTTTAAAAAAAGGCACAAGCAGTCATTGGCTTGTTCTCCAGGCCGTTCTCGATTTTGAACAAAGAGCAATCTTATCTAAACTGTCATGTCCCGACCTGCATCTCGCTGATATGATCTGCCCGATGGTGCTCCACCCAAGCTACCATTTTCTACACTCTGCTGAGAAATTGCTAATCAGAGTCCATTTTGTTTTGCATTTTTCCACCCCGCATACGGAAAACAGAGGTTCTTTCACTCTTCCCTTGCTAGGATACAGTTTCCTAGGTGTTAAAACAATTTTATTGGTTTTTCCATTTTTGCACCAAGAAACTTAAGAGCCAACGTGGAGATAGGGTAATCAGCTGAATATAATAACATCGTAAATATACGGCTCAAATAATACTCCTTAAAATTTTTCTCTCTATCAATTAACATAATATAGTCAAATTAATACATTTCTAAATAAAATTCATTCGTTAATACATTCCTAAATGTATTAACGATGCCCTTGACATGATGACCCGGTGTCTGGAGGCCGTGAGGGTCTGGATGGGGAGGAACAGACTCAGGCTCAACCCGTCCAAGACCGAGTGGCTGTGGTTACCGGCGCCTCGGCATAGTCAGCTGATTCCATCGCTGACTATAGGGGGCGAAACTCTGGCCCCCTCGGAGAGGGTACGCAACTTGGGTGTCCTCCTGGATTCGCGGCTGAC